TGGAAAATCAAACTGTAATGTTATTCAATGTAACTTGATTGGAGGATCACAAGTGTCTTCTGTACTCAGTTGTGTGCAACAACGCAGTCTATGAGAGAAGGCACTTTTGGGACTAAGGTGCCTAATAAGGTGATGTTAACTGCCCAGAAGCAGGCTAAGGGGTAGATCTAGGTCAGGGGTAGGCAACCTTGGCTCTTTTATGACTCGTGGACTTCAACTCCCAGAATTCCTGAGCCAGCATGCTGGCTCAGGAATTCTGGGAGTTGAAGTCCACGAGTCATAAAAGAGCCAAGGTTGCCTACCCCTGATCTAGGTGGAGGACATTCTGTTTGGGGGGGGGGAGACTTAGTGTAGGCCAGGGCCTTTGTCCTAAAATCCTGCCCTCAGCCGCCCACTACTCTTGTGCATTAGGGAAAGCCCTGAGCACATCTTTTTAGAAAAAGCGGGGTTTGCTAAGGCTCTGAGTTTTTTTTTTTTCCCAGATGGGCCTGACAGGCGTCCTCGGCCCTTTCAGGACGGTAAGCGGACATTTGGCGACTGCGCCGCCGGTTGCTGGTCTTGAATGCCGGAGCGGAGCCTGAACAATAGCAGAAACAAGTGAGCTCCGTCTTCGGAGAAGGGCTTTTTTTTTTTCTTCCTTTTTTTCTTTTCGGCAGATCCAGGCGCAGAACCCGCCTCTGCCCACGGATCTCCCTTCTGGCCGCACCAAGGCAGCGGCGGCTCTCCTCGCCTGCGGCAACAGCGGACAGCGCCTCCCGCGACGCGCCGACAGCTTCTCCGCCAGGGCCCCTCGGGCTGCCGCGTTTGGAAGGGCCTGTAGGGGGACAGGCGACCTGCTGTTGGCCGGATTGGCTAGATTTGCAGAGGACGGGAGACTCGGAGGAAAGAGATTGGCTACTTTGTGCTTCAGTCAGTGGTGTGTCTTAGCAAATTGCGGGATCAAGTATTCACCTCAAATCATAATATCTTCTATTACAGTGTTTCTCAACCTTGACAATTTTAAGGCATGTGGACTTCAACTCCCAGAATTCCACAGCCAGCATTGCTGGCTGTGGAATTCTGGGAGTTGAAGTCCACATGCCTTAAAATTGTCAAGGTTGAGAAACACTGTTCTATTAGTTTGTGTTAAGTGGAGGCTACATTTGCATTTTGGTTCATTCGGTTGAGCAGTCTGATGGATTGCGGAGCCATTCTGAAATCTGTCCGCCCGTCCCTCCCTTCCGCCTCTCCTTCCTGTAAAAAAAGTATTTCGGATCTCAGTGCGTGCAAGAGTGTTTGACTTTCTTCTTCTGGGCCTCCTCTGGTTTTAATTGTCTTCGATTCCATTGGGCCTCAAGTTGCGAACCCAGCACTCAAAAGTCCCCCACAAACTTCCCAGGGCTGGAGGAAGAAAGTAATTGTTGGATTCTGAATGTCTTATCTTCCAACAGATTGGAAAATATGACAAGCCAGCCCTCTATGGTCCTTTGTTGGGTCTTCCTAATGAAAAGATAATTTTTCCCCTTGCTTAACTCTACTGAGGTGCTGCCAGGACAATCGAGATCAGTGTCTATTGGTCAGTACATATCACTGGCCATTTTCTCACTATGAGGTGTAGGACCCTATGTGTAGGGCTGACGTGAAAGTGCTTTCACTCATCCTTGAGCTCGTAGAAATCTGTTTTTCCCATTGTCAATTCTTTTCCTTCCTCTGTGGTCTTTTGCTACTCTCCTGATTTTCTCAGAGACAATAATTGCCTGATAGGTTTCATAGATCTTGAGGCTAGGGGACACAGTGCTGAAATAAAGCAAGCCCTACTGTGTGGGTGGTTCAGTTTATGACAATTAAGGCTGTCTTACTCTTGGGCTGAGTACTGGTATGAGATGAGGGCAACATCAGAGGGCCACAGCAGGAAACAAGAGGTGGCCTGATCATGTTTGTGCCATAGTTTGATACAAGGGGTTGACTGAGCAGAATTCCCCAGGAAACTCTTGTCATGGGGAAAAAGAAGACTCTTTTCCAGACTTCGGAATATGGAGATATTGTCCTCTGCTGTTCTGTGGAGGGTAGCCCCACAAATGTAAATGGGGTTACAGTTTGGCTGTGGATGCAGTTTGTCCTTGAAACGGAAGACCATCCACCCAGCTACTGCAGACACCAATTACTTTGCAGATGAGTGCAAGCATACCTCCTGATTCAGCTGCAGGCACCAAACAGTTGATCTGGACGGTTCCCTCCTTCAGTTCTGACTGCTGACTGGTTGCCTTCCCTTACTCTGCTGGCTAGTTACCTTCATTTTTAGAGCCCTCGCTGAGGAAGAGACTTCTCCCTAGAACCAACTTGCCAGCCTTCTGTGTTTGGCCTGCTGCAATACTAAAGAGCAACTAATATTGTTAGTTGTTCTGTTTCCTCAATGGATGTTTATAGTGCCATAGTGTCATCCAATCATCCAATAGTTTTTAACAGCAATGGGGTAGACCAATGGTGGTGAACCTATGGCACGGGTGCCAGAGGCGGCACTCAGAGCCCTCTCTGTGGGCACACGCTTCATAGCCCCAGTCCTAGGCCTTCAGCTGGGTTTTATAAAACCTTTTCGCTTTAGGCCTCTGCCACCATGTGCAAAAAAAAAGGTTCAATCAATCAGTCAATTTCAACTTCTTGCGGAGGGGGGGGGAGATCTTGCAAAGTTGGAATTGATTGATTGAACTTTTTAGTCCCACCCAGTCTGCCCTTACCACCACAGCCACATCCACCCAATGGGCCATGCCCACCCAATGGCCACACCCACCCGGCACTCACCGATGCATAAATGGGTTTTGGGTTGCAGTTTGGGCACTTGGTCTCTAAAAGGTTCGCCATCCCTGGGGTAGACTTTACAATACTTCAGGGATGTCAGGTGGTGTCCAGTAGTGATTGCTGTAAATCGCTGATGGGGAACTGGCCTCCAGGTTAAATCACCCTATTTTGAGAGACTGTGAGAATAGCTATAGTGACAACGAGTGGCAACAGGTCTTTGCTTAAATGCAAAAAGCCCACAGTGACAAGTAGTCCTGCTCACTGTCCTTATTTTTTTAAAGGAGAAGTATTTTTTTCCCCCAGGGGGAGAGCTGTCCCAGGCATCTCAATGCAAGGAAACCTTTTCAAAGATCAGCTTAGTTTTTCAAATGGTCATTTTAGCTTTCTAGATTTTAAACATAAATATAATCATTAGAAGTACAGTAATTCCTTATTTTGCAATAAGTATATTGTCGGGAAACCTGAAAGATCGGGTTAGGGATAGACCATCGTGGAGAAAAATGTAACTTTTCCCATCAGTGGACAAAGCACTGGAAGAAATAGTACATTAACAGAGAAGGAAGTGCATGGGGAGAGGTGGAATTTAGATGTACTTCTGCTCTCAGTGTTCTCGGAACCTCGGAAGGGCCTTTGCTTTTCCTTCTAAGATTGGGCCGAAGATCATCAATGCAAAGTCCAGAATTTTAATCCAAATACCTTTGTCAATGAACCAGCTATAGCAGCCTCCTCTAAATTGATGTCCTCAGGATGTGCTGAAATTACACATACACACACAAACACAAAATGGTCATAAGTACTAATGTCTGGGAAGCCAGGAAGCACACCCAGAGAACACCTAATTTTGTAAAGCTGTTCTGAAGCAGTAGGTGCTCCAAGATCTATTCCAGATGGAAGGCAGGTAAATATTTCACTGCAGTTTATTCAACAGTTCTTATTATCCCCATTCATCTCTCATTTTTAAAACTGATTTTAGGAAACTTTCCAGGGAAAAAAATTGGAAAATGACTAATAATCGTATTTGGTCCTTAGTCCCTTAATTCTGGCTGAACTGGATTTTTGAATTCTCCGTGTGGAGCTTCTAAAGAGAGATGTTACCTTTAAGGGGATACTTTCTTTCTAGGAACAATTTAATAACAACCGAAGCTTTCTCAGTCAGGCCCTGCTGAGTTTGAATAGTCGTCCAACCTGCCCCCACGCATTTTGAAAATGTCCACTGTGTCTAAGATGCTCTTCACTCTCCCACCAAATTCTCTTTAAAGAAGACAGCAACTGAACACAAGGACACTTCACTTGAGAAAAGAGGAGGACAAATCTCACCTTGTTCAAGATGGTAGTAATAACAACAACAACAGCAATTTATTAAATGTTATATGCCACCAGGCTCCATTCTAATCTTAACAATCGCGTTCTCAGCTACACAGCACTAACACCATCTCAGAGCTATTATTAAAGCAAACAAACAAGCCAAGAGGCTACAGTTGAAAGAGGAGCATCCCTTTTAGAGCCCAAGAGAACCACTCTTTCGCAACGGACTTGCCACACTTTGTGGGGCGAAGTGTGAAAGGTCCCGTCCGTGACAGTCGGCTACCACACAGCAAGCAGGGAAAACAATGGGGGGGGGGAGAGAGAGAGGGGGGGGGAAGAATGTGATGGGGAGAGAAAAGGAAGGCGCATCCTTTCGGATCTCGCAAAAAAGATGCGCAAAGTGGATGTCTTGCGAGGAGAACCTTAAGCAGGACCCGATTATTCAAAGCGCCTACCCAGGACCTGCGGGTTGGAGCTGCGCCCCTCAGCTGCCTGCTTGAGTGCTCGGGCACCCACGTCACTGCACCACTTCGTTTCCTCCTCCCTCCGTCCCTCTCTCCCTCCTCCTCCTCCTCCTCCACCTTGCCTTCGCCTCCGGGCGGCTCTTCACTGTGAAACCCACCCAAGCAGTAGTAGTAGCAGCAGCCGCAGCAGCAGCCTTTAGCAAGCAGGGACAAACCCCAAGCTGAGCGATTCCCCTCCCCCTCTCCATCACCCACAGAGAAGAGGGAGGGAGGGGAGGAGGAAGAGAAAGAGGGAAGGAGGGAGAGAGGGAGGGTTACAGAGGGGGGTGTTTTCCTTTTCCTTCTTCTACTTTTTTTTTTTTTTTTGGGTTGCGCTCGCGCGCTCTCTCTCTCCCTCTGCCCTCTCCCTCTCCCTCTCTGCCGCCGCTTAGTGTGGCTGTTAAATTTTAAACTGCTATGCACTCCGCTTCCAGTATGCTGGGAGTCGTGAAAATGGAAGGACACGAGCACACGGAGTGGAGCAACTACTACGGCGAGCCGGAGGTAAAAGGCAACTTCTGTCTGTTGGCGTGCGCGTCTCTCTCTCTCTCTCTCTCTCTCTCTCTCTCTCTCTCTCTCTCTTTGTGTGCGCGTCCCCCACCCAATCCCCAAGCCTCCTCCTTCTGCTAAAAACAGGACTCTCTCTCTCCCTCTCTCTCTCCCTCTCTCCTTTTATACAACACTCTGTTAGCCTTGAGATAATATTAACTTTGTGATCAAATATTGACTTGCGAAGCCTCCAAATCCTTTTGCCATGCCTAGCCGCGCTATCCTAACAAAGTTGTGTTTGGCAGAGAGAAGTTGGGTGGGGGGGGGGAAAGGCGTGTGGGGGGGAACTATAAGGAAGCAAGGAGAAGAGGGGGAACATTAGGGTTCTAAAATTTGCCCTGGGAAGGTTCAGAGTCTAAGGGAAAGGAAGTGTAAAGGGGGGGGGGGGCAAAAATGTGTTATTTTATTTGATAGCCGCCGGTGAAGGAAGCAAAGATTTACCTGCAACCCATAATTTCTCGGGGTGTTTGGATGTATCTGCTCCGCGTGGCCCAGGAAACTGCATGGTCCTTTGAACTTCAATACATTTTTTTTTCTTGATCCAATGCACTTTTCAGGTTTCCTCCTGAAGCTCTAAAATACCCCCCCCCCCTTCTTAAGGGCGCCGGTCTGGACTCAGCCCTTCGCTGAGGGTTTAATTTAATCTGTTGAGATGCCCTAGTGCCGCGATTGAGTTGCAGCCCTCAGCTTATTGAGAACTAAAATTCCGCGGAGAATCAATGTGGATTACTCCCAAGAACACGGATTAAATTTTGAGTTAAGCTTGAACACTCTTTAATTGGGGTCGAGACTTTTAATGGATACAGTTGCCAGCAGGCTAGCAATGCTAACGCGCACTGGTTACTGGGGCAGTAAGTTACATTGCGATCCAAGGGAATCGCTCCTAACTGGAAAGCGAACGCCTTCGGACTTCGTCCCATTGATTATTGGTGCGTCTCGAATTGAGATGTTGCACATACTTAATAAAGAGTAAATCCTAATTTAACCCGATGGCACCTACTTCTGAGTAAACATTCATTGGGTCGCGCTGCATGTTCTGAAGAGGGAAGGTGCTGGAACCGTAGGACTTCGTTTCTAGATCAACACTTAAGGCTAAATATCGGGGGGGGGGGCTGTTTATGGTGAACAGAATGTGCTGTTTCCATACTATCTTCTTCCTCCCTAGCGAGTGACAGATTTAAGTTTCCATTGGTCTTCGAGAAACTAGACAATTTACTTGAGCAAGGTCCTTTCTCAAACAGTAGGGTGTAAAAGCACACACACACACACCAGCGGAGCTCTTAAAATCTGGGCATTGGGCTATGATCCCCAGAGCATATCTGTGGAATGAACAGCCAAAATCTTATTCCTAAAGAGATGCAGTGGAATTTCCAGTAACATAGCCCCTTTCTTCGCCCTGGACATGATCCGGGGAATCTGGCATGTTTTGAACACTGAATTTAACGGGGGGGGGGGCGGTTTCCAATCGGCTGGGATTCAACCTCAGCTTTCGCCACCGGCTTAATTCTCTCCCACCGAAATGCCAAGTGCCTCAGGAGCCTCGGGGTCCCGGCCAAGGAAGCGCTACTACAGTCCCAGAAATACTTCCAATATTTCAAAGGGTTTTTCGGGAAAGTCCGGGAAGGTGCGCGGTGTAAAGAGGAGGCCAGGGGGGGTCAGCAGGCAAGATGGGGCTCTCGGGAATCGGGGCGGGTGCGATCCGGACGCAAGAGTGGCTAACCACCAGGCTCCCTCCTTTTGTCGCCTTTGCAGGGCTACTCCTCCATGAATGCCGGCTTGGGCATGAACAGCTACATGGCCATGCCCGCCATGGGCAGCGCTGGCAACCTCTCGACTGTGGCGTCCGGCGGCTCCATGGGCATGTCTTACGCGGCCGGCCCGGCGAGCATGAACCTGTCTCCCGGCGCGGGGGCCATGGCCGGCATGGCGGCCCACCTGAGTCCCAGCTTGAGCCCGCTGGGTGCCCAGGCGGGCTCCATGGGGGGCGCGCTGGGCGCCTACTCTGCCCTGAGCCCGGTGGGGGCCGGCGGCGGCGGCGGGGGCGGCGGCTACGGGCCAGCGGCGGGCCTGGGCCGCGCCCGCGACGCCAAGAGCTACCGCCGGAGCTACACGCACGCCAAGCCGCCCTACTCGTACATCTCCCTCATCACCATGGCCATCCAGCAGTCTCCCAACAAGATGCTGACGCTGAGCGAGATCTACCAGTGGATCATGGACCTCTTTCCCTTCTACCGGCAGAACCAGCAGCGCTGGCAGAACTCCATCCGCCACTCGCTCTCCTTCAACGACTGCTTCCTCAAGGTGCCGCGCTCGCCGGACAAGCCGGGCAAGGGCTCCTTCTGGACCCTGCACCCCGATTCGGGCAACATGTTCGAGAACGGCTGCTACCTGCGCCGCCAGAAGCGCTTCAAGTGCGAGAAACCGCCCGGCTCCAAGCAGCAGCAGCAGCAGCAGCAGCAACAGGGGGCCTCGCCGGCCTCGGGCCCCGGCAAGAAGGCGCTCCCGCAGGCGGAGCGCGAGGGGCCCAATGGAGCCTCGGAATCGCCGCGCTCCAACGCCTCGCCTTGCCGAGAGCACAAGCGCTCGCTGGCCGAGCTCAAGGGCCAGCCGGAGCCCGCCCCGTCGCCGGCCCAGCAGCAGCAGCACCTGCTGGCGCAGCATCACGCCCACCCGGGCCTCTCCCACGAGGCCCACCTCAAGGCCGAGCACCACTACGCCTTCAACCACCCCTTCTCCATCACTAACCTGATGTCCTCCAGCGAGCAGCAGCAGCAGCAGCAGCAGCAGCACGCCCACCATCCCCATCCCCACCATCAGCACTCCCACCACCCTCACCCTCCCCACCCCAAAATGGACCTGAAGGCCTACGAGCAAGTGATGCACTACGCTGGTTATGGCTCGCCGGTGCCCGGCAGCTTGGCCATGGGCTCTGTCACGAACAAAAGCGGCCTCGAGGCCTCGCCCTTGGCCGGAGACGCCTCCTATTATCAAGGGATGTACTCCAGGCCCATCATGAACTCGTCCTAAAGAACACCCCCCCCCCCTCCCTCTCTCCTTCCCGACGCCAAAACCGAGACTTTGTGGGGCGGGAGAAAAGTTCCCTAGAGTTCGAAAAGTCTGAACATTGTGCCCAAAGCTACCCTGCCCCTTTGACCCAATGCCCGCAGAAAGAGGCCCAGTCCAGGGAAGGTCCAAAGCTCCCTTAAAAAATGTTGGACAATTTCAGCACCCCCCTCCCCTTCCCATTCTTTGGATGAGCGCTCAAGGTTCTTTCCGACCCGTCTGGGGGGGGGGGAGCGCAGAACTGGGAACCCGGCACTCGTGCCCTCTACCAATTAGAATGGGGCACCAAATATTTAGGTACTTTTTCCCGCTGTTGTATGATTTTAAGCGCCTGCCGAAATGGGAGGGGGGAGGGGAAGTGGGGGAAGAGCTCATTGACTCCAACGACCATAAGGAGTGGAAACTGCCCCTGTTGCGGATCCGGGTCGTGTCCACGCTCAATTTCCTTCAGACACCAGTTTAACTTTCCTTTGAATCTGGAAGATTTATTTTAAGGCGTTAAAAGGCGACCCTAGGTATATTTGTTATTTTGGGTTAGGAAGTTACAAATATATCTATTTTTGGATGTGGAAGTGACACAGAAGTATGTGTGTGTGTGTGTGAACCGATGTTAGATTTGAAAACTGAGGATCAAAAAGACTGTAGCGTTGTGAGATCGAAAAAAAGGGATAAAAGAAAAGAAGAGAGACTTTAGATTGTAATTCGACACACAAAAACTTCGAATCAAATTAATTTATCGTTTCTGTACGTTTTATTTATGGGTTATAAATGTGTATTCTGGTAACAACCAGCCAAATTCCCACAAACCAATATTAAAATGATGTTGGATATTTCCCCCCTGTCCTTCAACATTTCTTTAAAATCTCTATAGTTTTGCATCCATCTCTTCTTCCTCATTTCTTTTGGCTAAGTGCATAATGCAAACTTTTAAACTGGGGCTGGAAAAGATTGTGGAATAATTTCAATTCAGTGTACTAATTGTATTAGGATAAGTTTTTTAAAAAGGAAAACAAACACAAATGAAAGGCTCTTTTGACGCTTTCTTTCTATACTATGGAAATGGCATACAGGAACACATATATTTAAGCCTCCAGGCCCAGGTTATGTTTCTGTGTAGCTTAGTATTGCACAGTCCTTACATGAACGTCAACTAGGAATATTCAATGATTCTGTCTGCATGCATATTTTTTCAAGAGAGGCCCACTGAATTTAACTGACCTCTCCTTCTATTTCCTGCCTATTCACTTTGCAGGAAATAATATTTAACTGGATTCATTATGACTTACATCCTTGAGTGTTTTGATCTGCTTGTATGTCATAAGGTGAAGATCCTATGAACATGTTGCACTTAGAGTGAAACCCAGCAGGTGCTATTGATGATGCAATCCTATCCATGTCTACAGAAGGAAAAAATGAGTTCAATGAGGTTCAACTTATTGCTGCTTTAAATGGTTTGGCATCATTTGTTCTTACAATCCTGTCATTAGTAAAGTATTACTAAGTCCATTGGTTTTACCATTTCTTACAGTTATGTTCCTATGGAAAATATTTATGCTAACGTCTGAATATTAGCATCTTCATAAATGCTCTGAAGTTGCAGTCCTGTTTTGTTTTACAGAAAGCTCCCTTGAATTTTTGTGTTATTACATCGGAGAGAGAGGTTGTCTCCTTAAATGAAACGAAGGGTACTCCCAGGTAAGTCTGAATATGACTGCACCCTCCAATAATTACAAGTGACAAGATCCAGCCATTTTTAAAAAAACGAATGTGACATTCACAGTAGGGTTAAAATCAATTCTCCTGTACTAAAGGACTGGTCCTGTAATTAAAGTGTCTTTAGCTGGATGCTGATCAATATGCAGTGTATATTTCAAGGAACCAAGAGTTTGAAGCATCTTATTAACAGCACCCCAGCAATCTATCAACAATTGGTTAGTAAAGGCTATGATTCCACCTTTAAACAAGCGGCTCCTAGAATAATTATAAAAATGACAGGTAAAATGTCTGGTAAGAAACCAAAATATGGTAACGGAGAGATGGTCTTATGTAGTCTCCATAAAATCTATGGAGGAAGGAAAGTCACTGTATAATCAACACCTAAGTTCAACCTGATGGGCTCATTACAGGGGCAAAATCTCCCTGTTTCTTCCTTGCTAGTTTGTGCCTCTGTCCCTCTCCCCTTTTCTCAAAAAAAAAATAAAATAAAAATGTCGCGTGTAATGAAAGCTGGAATTGCTGTTCTGCTTATCTACCAGCCCTTTGACTAGTGGTGCTGGGAGCCCTGAAGTCTTCTTGCGATTCCAAAGTCCTTCTCGTCGGACAGAGACCATGTCCACGCTAGTGTTTTATAGCCTTGCCTAATCTTCGTTGGGCCGCGCGTCCATCAGCAGCAGGGATAGGCTTTATCTCGCCCTAGCGACGGCTGATTGTGGCTATAAGCACTAGAGAGGAAATGGTTAAAGAGAAGCCGTCTCCAAAGACGGGGTGCTGCTGGGAAGAAGGTCCACCCCAGCTTTCTTGAGAGTTTCCCCGCTGATGGGGGGGGGCGCAGAGTCATGTCTGCTACGGGGCCCGTTATTGGCCACACACACACACACACACACACACACACCCGCAAGTGTCCCTTTCCTCCAGTATTTCAGAGAGAGCCAGCCACCAGACCAGTTGCCCTCTGTACGGTACGTGGGACTGGAAAGCCCCACAACTCGCTTCTGTTTCCTTCCCTTGGCGAAACTCGGAGAGCGTCGAGCCCATTCACGGGCAGGGTTGTTGGCTGCTTGCCGTTTTTGCTTTATTCGAATTGGGATTTCTGTCCGGTAGCGCTGCCATACACGCAGCTATGCCGGGTTGTCTGAAGAAGTCGTGCGGAGAGCTAGGAACCGGGAGAGGGGTGGGTGGGCTTGCGTTTCTTCCCTTTATGCCGCCCGTTCATTCGCACTACCGAAAGGATATCACAGTTGCAATTTGCGCACGGTTTTTTTGGGATTGTGTGTGTTGAGGAAGCCGCCCCTTCCTCTACCAGGCTAACTCCTGGACGCTCTCCAGGATACCGAGGAGGGAAGCTCTGTCGACCCAGCTCTAGGTCTGACGACGCGAGCTGGGGACACGTGTAGGTGGCAGCCTTCCACACGTGTAGGTGGCAGCCTTCCACACAGGAAGGGGGTGACGGGGTGGGCTGGGAGCAAAGACGGACGAAAATCTACACGCGTACGAACTGAAATCCCACGCTACCGGCAATTTCCTGGCTCGCTTGTTGTTTTGCGACAGCAGACCCCATTCTTTCCAGCGAGTCGGACCCCAGCTCCACGCGAAACAATAGAATTCCCTTCCCCATCGTGGTTGGCTGGCTGGAAATCCCGAGCATTTGATAACCGCCGGGATTTGAGGAACAGGGAGCTGCCCTGCAATCCGGGAGGCGGAGTCAAAACCAAAAGTTGTTGAAGCAGATGTAGGTGTGACTGGAAACTCCTTAAAAGGGAGCGCGCCTCGGTTCGGTTAAATGTGCGGGCTTCGTTTCTGGCAAGCTCTGGGCGAGGATCCGAGGCTTTTTATTCAGTATGTTTACCCGGAAACCAGCCCCATTAAATCTTGCGTCGTTTGGCTGGATCCTGTAAGATTCCAGTGCCTAGGCCAAGGGTAGGCAACCTTGGCTCTTTTATGACTCGTGGACTTCAACTCCCAGAATTCCTGAGCCAGCCCTGCTGGCTCAGGAATTCTGGGAGTTGAAGTCCACGAGTCATAAAAGAGCCAAGGTTGCCTACCCCTGGCCTAGGCAAGTAGTCTTGATTGCTTCGAGACAACGCAGGTGTCAACTGCACATGGAAGTGGAAGCAAGGCAAGTGGAAGTAAGTCCCAGCGGACTCCCTGGTAGTTACTTGGAGGAGATATGGACAACATTGTTCCTGAGCACAGTAAGGGTTACATACCTCTCAGAAGTGTTTCTATGGATTAGAAAGAGATCCTACTTGGAGCAGTAGAGCCAGCTGACCCATCTAAATGCCAGTCGGAGTCAGGGAAGATTACCAGAGAAGAACACAAAGCTTTACTGGTATTGCATTGTTCAAAACATGTTTTGTAGCTTGGGTTAGGGATAGTTGCCATGCCGAGGTGAGGGAGAGGGGATTGAATGGCCGGTGGCCTAAAACAATGGGAGAGAATACCTCAAGCTGTTTTGGATTACAGCGCTCAGTACCTGACCCCGTTCACCATGCTGTCTGAAGTTGTTGAGAGTTATAGCCTGAAACTTTTGGAAGTCGCCATGCTAAGAGAATGCTATATTCCTATATAAATGTCTGGGTGTCAATTTATGAAATGAACGCTCAAAGAAGAGAAGAAAACACTCCAACAAAAGCTAAAATGCTTCTGGCGTCCTTCAAAGAGCAGTTTAAAGTATTAATAGGTGGGTGAGAAGTGGATGGGACTCTCTGAGGAGACTTCAAGCTTTTGCCAAAGTGAAGGAAACTACTCTGCCCTTTGCTGAGGACTGCCCCTTGAATGCTGGCTCGGGGCCAGAGATTCAAGTCAGTATGGATAACTTCACACCAAAGACCAAGCTGTACACCAGCTGCTCCTCATACACTATACACAAAATGCAAAATCACAATTAAAGGGCAGAAAGTACAGGCAGTTAACCAATTTAATCCTCTTGGTAGTACCTTTTCTTGAGCAGTGATTATTGATACAGAATTTAATTGCAGTAGAGCAAAGGTGGGTAGACTGCACTCCACTGTATGGGAACCTGTCTGAGATGGTATAGGTTCTCCTGCTTGAGCAGGGGGCTAGACTAGAAGACCTCCAAGGTCCCTTCCAGCTCCTGCTCTACTCTACTCTATATTCTATTCTATTCTATTCTATTCTATTCTATTCTATTCTATTCTAACCTGAGTAATCAGCTCTGTATAAACTAAACTGAAAGTTTACAGACTGGTCGTACTTACTATCCTTCTGGATGCTTGTGAAACATG